CTAGACCCATTTGCCGACATAGCTTCGTTTGGAGTTTGGTTCCACAGGGAAAGATGCTTAAAAGAGGCATCAATCAATTAGTATAGTTCTTTCATGATTGGTGAGGTGAAATTGGGTTTAACATCGCGTCCAAGATTATTGCACTTATATAGCGACGTGCATGCACGTGTGTGTGTTTGTGTGGCTGCTTGTACTAGTCAGACTGATGCCGATTTATAGTGCTAGCTCACTGAGATACCATGCCGCAGTTTAACATGAATACCCCACTCATACACAGTATACTCACTCAAGCTGACCAGTCCTTGTTTTAGTCCATTAATGCTGAGCGCCAGAAAGGGTAACAACAAGTACCATCTTTTAACGTCTTTTGGTATGACACGGCCGGGGATTCTTTCATGATTGAAATAAGTGGCGATATCACCCGTACTTGACTCGCCTATCAATGCTCATGATGTAAAGATTTGATTATTTACAGACCATGTCACATAGCTAGCACTTTGTGGCATTAAACAAAACACAAATAAAAAATAAAAAACAAAAAACAACTTAAGTTTGCATTTACTTGAGAAACATTCACATAGTCAAATATCATCAAATCACTCAGATTTGAATAATATTTACAGGTACCGAATCTGCTTTTGAGAAACCTCCGGATTGGAACACAATCTCCTAATTGTGCTACATTCAAAGTGCAACAGCTGTGGAGTCAGGGCTCGATTTAGCTCTATAAAACATGCACAAACGCAACCTAATATTTATGTCTACATGCACCAAGTCCATTTCAAAAGTTTTCAGATGGGTAGGCCGTCTTGTAGATAGAGCATCTGCCCGGAGAGCAGAAGGTTCAGGGTTCTTTCCCTGGCAGTGTCATACCAAAAAATTTAAAAGGTGGTACTTCTTGTTACCCCCCAACGCTTAATCCTAAAAATAAGAATGAGGAGAATTCCAGGCATAAAAACTACCTGGTGTTAACTCAATGCCCATCTTCTTAAGGCAAGGAGTTAACTGATTGTAAAAGTTGTCACTCAACTTATAGTCAGTTAACCCCCTAGTCTCGGGGGCCTGGCGCATAACCAAGACCCTGTGTTTATTCAAGATCGAGCGTTTCATCGTGGAAATACGGTAATAAATAATGATATTAGGAAACCCACCATTTAAATCAATCTCATTAAAATCAGATCTTAGTTCTCGCAACCGCTAAACAAAGATTTGAGGACATCCCGTCAGGGGTCACGTCAGACCGACCTTGCGCGAACTTTGACCAACCGATAGAAGGACTGACAAGAAGTCGACATTAGCCAATCAGAAGGCAGCTTTCTCGTGCTTTATGGCACTAATTTCAAATTGGCGGCTACGCTTCGAAACATATTTTGACAAATTCTCGATTACAAATTTGAAACCTGAACAAAAGAACATTCTTGAATGACTAATAGATGGTCTACATTATATGGATTCAGTCGTTCAACCCGTAACTATCGTTCGGAATATCCCGTGTTAAAGCTTTCGAGGTTGCACTATCAGAATTCACATTCCGAATGTCACTTTCATGATCTGGTAAGCGACACTCTGATTGGTCGGATGAAAGGTAGTTCTGACATGACCCCTAATGGGATGTCCTCAGATCTTTGTTTGACGGTAGCGGGAAGCACGATCTGATTTTAATGAGATTGAATTTAAATTTTCCTATTTTTGACTTGGGTTAGTATTAAGAATAACCTACACGCCAAGGAAGGTAACTTACTAAATAAATTCGCATGGGCCATATAATTAGTCATTCTTGGTGGTTATCCTCAAAATGTATCGCCATTCGTGACCTAGTGGTCTAACGTTTGTATTGTTATACCTCTATTAAGAATCTTGCAATTCCATTGGTTAATCCGTATCATGTGATAAAACAATACATTTCAATGTAGACCCCAAAACCATGTGACTGACACTCACCTCGAATATTGACTCATCACATGATCAGTATTGTCCTGTCACGTGATGAATATTGACTCGTATGCTAGAAAACAAGATGGCGTCTGGTATGAACATGTCACAGTTTGCAGATACGTTACTGTTATGAAACAGAGGAAAGTTAAAGTTTCCATAAACTGTGAAGTGAATTTCGGCATAACAAAACAAATGGTTGGTTGGTTGTTAACGCCGCACTCAGCAATATTCCAGCTATATTCCAGTGGTCTGTAAATAATCGAGTCTGGACCCGACAATCCAGTGATTAATGTCATGAGCATTGATCCCCACAATTGGGATTGATGACCATCCGATCGCCTCCTACGACAAGCATAGCTGCCTTTTAAGACAAGCATGGGTTGCTGAAGACCTATTCTACCCCGGATCTTCACAGGTCACAAAACGAATGAATACTCTGGACAAGGTAAATATACAAAAACAAGGAATCTCAAGATCACAGTGGCTCATTAATACATAACAAAGCAGTCATTTGTGATATCAACCAGCCCACTGCTTACTACCCATACCTAGTTTCACCCTCCCCATGAAGGTTTCCGCCATATCTGTGAATTATCAAGGCGATGATGATAATGCAAACTAGAAAAGATCAACAAACACTTATTAACACTCAAAAACCAAAAGGTTTTAACACAGACATAAGTTAATTCAACCAAAGCACGAGTAACTTATCAATTAATTACTGGTAGAATGAGGAAAGTAGTCCGTCATAATTTGACCTTAGGTCATCTCCATGGAGTAACCAATCACGGACCTGGAATTCGATCTCACACATATGATTGATACCAGTTATCTCAAACGAGTTTCTCAGCTACGTCCGCAGCTACGTCAGAAAATGAGATACCATCGATGTAATAAGCGCCCCGCTCTAATAAACGCCCACAGCGATTTTTTCTAATATATTGGCTAGTGAACAATCCCAATTAGCACCCCTTCCGATTGATCAATGTACACAGGACTTATTCATTCGTGTATAATATGTATGTTAAATGCATTCTTAATTATGGGAAATTAAATTCTGGAAAAAATATATCCGTCGTATATAAACATTTCAGGCTGACAGCATAAACCACGAAATTTACGATTTTTCAACTCTGTTGTTTTTCACCAAAATAATATTCTAATAAGAGCCCTCTATTTCTAACTTTGACAGCGCCCTGGGCGCTTATTATGTCAAATACAGTACATTACAATGACATCAATGTATGATATATGTATTATAGTAAGATCAGTGTACACAGACCATATTTAGATCAATGATACAATTATATGGCCATTTGTATGGTATTGAGACTCTATTCACAATCCCTAACATCTGGTTCTTACGAACAAAGTCACAAATATACAACTAACAGCCTTGTTTGGAACACTGTTATCAGCAGGAGGAAGGTTATGGACACAGCTTATAGATGATCAATAAAGGACCCACACACTCAGATACCTCCAACGTTAACTTCTAACAAATGTATGCCGAGAGCCTGAGATATATTAGCTGTATATTTGAGATTTGTGAATATATACGGCATACTATAGATTTATTTGAGTAACATAAAAAAATGAACTAAAGTCATACATTTCAGTCTTGTTGAAAATATGGGGATAGTTTGAATAATATCAAAAAATGTAGAAGTGAGGCTGACAAACACCTTTGGATACACAGTTTGATTGGTTGGCTTGTTGTTTAACGCTGCACGCAGCAATATTCCAGCTATATGATGGCCGTCTGTAAATAATCGAGTCTGGACCCGACAATCCAGTGATTAATATCATGAGCAATTGGGATTGATGACATGCAACAACCAAGTCAGCCAGCCTGACCACCCGATCCTGTTAGTCACCTTTTACGACAAGCAAAGCCACCTTTTACGGCAAGCATGGGACTGCTGAAGACCTATTCAACCCCGGAATCTTCACGGGTCTTTGATACGCGGGATTCACAGACTATTCAGAAATTAATCGGGACTCAGCAGTGTGGTGAGCGGGACTCAAATAAAATCGAATATGGTACGCAGATTGAACATTTAAATAAAAGTAATAGTGTACATAAAAACATTCTTTTGTATTTTATTTTTCAATTTTTATTCAGTAATTGACTTCAAATTGACCCTTTTCTCAATGCTTTTGAGATTTTGTTAAGTACATGTAGTATTCAGGATTCAGGGGAGAGCAATGAGACTCAGAGTGAAAAATTAGATGGTATTCTGGATTCAGGGAATGAGGGTATTGGCAGCCTCACAACTAGCTGTCTACTAGTTGTTCAACATTGAAATCCTGCAATTATTTATTGGGGAGAGTTTCCACTGAGGTCATAAATAAGTTCTTTCTCCAACCAACACTATGCATAACGGATATGATGGGAAAGTTATAATAACTACATAATCATATAACTTAATCATGCTACTCCTAAGAAAAGTGAGAAAGTATTTTCAAAAGATTTTAATAGATAAAAAGGTTTTTGTCTTGAAACAGAAAATTCAATCTCAATATAAACGTATCACACCTCAAAACGGCAAACAAGTAGAATCTATTTTCAGTAGATACAGACAATATGAGTAAACAATATTTCACGAATTTGAAAATACAACTTGAATATACATATTTATGTGATCATAAATGGTTGACTTGAATAACTAAATAAAGCTGTGAAAAGTCAAATTTCACACGTGTCAGAGCGAGAGACACGCCCATTTTTAACACCCTCCCACGAGGGTACTTCCGCAATCGTCCCCAACTTTGATGAACATAACTTGCCCCAAATACCGGTCTTGTTCGTCAGCGAAGTGTCGTGCGATTTGAACAGGGAACAGGCTTTGTTTAATCAACACTACCCGAACCGTATGTGTCTCTTCCAAGCCAGTTATCTCTCAACTCTCCAACAGGATCTAAGTTAGACGAACAGGGAGACTCCGGCCGCTAAAACTTGTTGACAGGGGCCGCCAGTTTCTGAAAGTTCAATGGAGACCTACCATCGATCCACTCAAGCGGCCACCATAAATGTAAACACATAGATAAATAAAACTACTCACGTTGGTTCAAAAACTTTCCAAGTTCGCCGGAGTGTATGCCAATGTAGACACGCTTCGCGTTATTCAAGTCACGAATTCAGGGGTCTAACTTACTTCCGACAGGTCAGAGAGACTTCGCCTGTCACCACTAGGGGGCGATGGCTCTTCTTGTCATTGTTTTCTTTAGAAAGATTCACTCGGTGCATTTCACGGGGAAAGCGTTTTGTATTTTCGAACGCAAAGACTTGATATAACATTGCAGGAAGTGCTAAAGGTGTGTTACTGTTACAGATTTTGAATCAGACATCGGGTTGTCATTTTCAAGTGTAAAGAAATAATCTTTAAATATCAGTGAACGTATATACTGTTTGATAATTGCAGATTTAATTGCAGGTTTAGACCTGAATTGTCAGTGTGATTTTTCAGTAAACAATTCGATATTGACAAAATCGAAAAATACGCATTGTTGTCAGGAAATAGGACTGACATATTTTCATTATTATTATTATTATTATTATTATTATTATTATTATTATTTTGTTTTTAATGCATAGATTCCGAACTCCACAGAAACAGATAAACCATTCTGATCACGTAATGGATATTACTTGACTTCTTAAGTATTGTTATCGCCGTTTTATTGACAATGTAAAAATAAATAATTCAGTCTTGTGCGATTCTCAATACTCAGGATGTGTACCGTGCTTTGAATCACGAAGGGTGGTGATAGAGACTTTGAAAGTACGCGAAAACTAACAAAGACGAGTATTACTTTTGTCATTTTCATTGATTAATGTCGATCTGGGAAATTGCTTCAGGAGTTGAAATGATCATCAAAGATAGCAAAAAACCTAGGTAATAAAGGAATGCATTTTTATGTTGTTGTTTTTTATTGATTACTTTGTTATTTGAAAACGCAGGGGAGATGTATTGAGTGAGATTATAAAACAAATTAGTGCTTGTAAATGTATATGTGTTAGATAATACCATATTGCGTGTGTGTGTGTGTGTGTGTGTGTGAGAGAGAGAGAGAGAGAGAGAGAGAGAGAGAGAGAGAGAGAGATACTTGCAGGGTAGTTGAATCAATCTGGATGATGCAAGCCAGTGATTGATAGCATGAGCATCGACTCACAACGAGAAGTCCACAGATCCTCATAAATGTAGTGTGTGCTGAGGAACTTAACGACCCGGAAACGTCTTTGAATCTTGCAGTTATATATATATTTGGGATAGTTTCTACATACAACACTATGCATATCTGAAAGGGGCAGTTAATGACCACATTAATCATGTATCTTAATCATGCTTATGCTATAGTCCCGGTGACGGTGGGGTAGCCTAGTGATTAAAGTGTTCGCTCGTCACGCCTAAGACACGAATCGATTCCCGACATGGGTACAATGTGTGAAGCCCATTTCTGGTGTCCCCGCCGTGATATTGCTGGGATATTGCTAAAATCGGCGTAAAACCATACTCACCTACCCATTTATGCTTGTCCCAAGAAAGATGAGAAAGTACTTTCAAAGCTTTTTTTCATGAAACAGAAAATGCAATCTCAATAGATGTGGCTATTATAAACTGGTTAATATGTAAACATGTCACACCTCAAAACGGTAAATAAGTATTTTCAGTAGATCCAGTCAATATTATAAGGGTAACGCTATTTTTCAGGGCATTATCATTTGCAGAAGCCCGAGGTCTTCCATTAACTGCCCGACGAAGGAGGGCAGTTGAAAAGACCGAGGTTACCGTGTTAATAGTGTTACCGTTATTATAGCTAAAATGGATGGAATTTGTTATCAAATAAATAGAAACAATGTCGATTTTGAAACATTTACTGCTATCAACACGAATGTCACTGACCCACTTTTACAAATATGGAAACGTCATAGAACAAACCAGATGACGTCACTATTGAACGTTACGTCACCTATCCCTATCCTATGACGTCACCTAACAACGGGCGTGATAATGGCCTGTCGTCAAGTAATATGAGGGCATTATCAAGTTACAGTGGCCCGCTCATTTCTGATAACATGCGGGCGTTTTTATGATAATTCTATCCATTTTAGCTATAATAGAAGGGTAATGATATTTTTCAGGGCATTATCATTTGCAGAAGCCCGAGGTTTTCTATTAACTGCCCGACGAAAGACCGAGGGCTTCTGCAAATGATAATGCCCTGAGAAAGAGCGTTACCGTTATTATAGCTAAAATAGATGGAATTTGTTATCAAATAAAAAGAAACAACATCGGTTTTGAAACACTTACTGCAATCAACACGAATGTCACTGACCACATTTTACAAATATAGAAACGTCATAGTACAAACCAGATGACGTCACTATAATACGTGACGTCATTTTCTCTACCCTATGACGTCACCTAACAACGGGCTTGATAATGGCCCGTCGTCAAGCAATATGAGGGCATTATCAAGTTACAGTGGCCCGCTCATTTCTGATAACTTGCGGGCGGTTTAATGATAATTCTATCCATTTTAGCTATAAATATATATATATATATATAATATTTCAAGAACTTGAAAATACAACCTGAATATATACACACAGAGGGGGGCACGGGTGGCCCAGTCGTCTAAGGCGCCGCGTTTCGCTGTGCAGAGTTACGTCCCTTGGGCACGCCAGAAACCTATGATTGTGGGTTCGAATCCGGGTTCGCCCCGATTATGTTTCTAGGTTTGTCAGCACCATACCCGTTCTCGTGGGTTTCATCGAAGTGGTAAACGTCCGAGACCTATCATTTCGGGCTTTCCTCCCACATTAAGCTGACACGCCGCGATATAAATGTAATACTGTTAAAAGCGGCGTTAAACCCAACTCACTCACTCACTATACACACAGAGAAGGAGGGTCTGTCTCAGGGCAAACCTGTAGTTGAATCTGACCTGGGTGAGACAAACCAGTGATTGACTGCATGAGCATCGACCCACACCGGTAGGTCCACATTGTATCGCATTATCCTTATAAGCCGACCCGTGAAGATTCCGGGGTAGAATAGGTCTTCAGCAACCCATGCTTGCCGTAAAGGGTGATTATGCTTGTCGTAAAAGGCGACTAACGGGATCGGGTGGTCAGGCTCGCTGACTTGGTTAATGCATGTCATCGATCCCAATTGCGTGGATCGATGCTCATGATAATAATCACTGGATTGTCTGGTCTTGACTCGATTATTTACAGACCGCCGTCATATAGCTGGAATATTGCTGAGTGCGGCGTTAAACAACAAACCAACCAACCAACCAACCAACCTTATAAGCCAGGTACCTGGCACAATACCTCATACCGGGGTGGTTCAATGGTGCGAGTTCAATGGTTGAAGATCTTAAAGTACATATCTCTGATATGACATTGACCCGTAAAATGAAAGCATGCAGCTTTCAATACAAGCAATCTTATCGCTGCTGTCTTCAATCTTGTATTCACGTGGTAGGCGTTACAGCGATCGCGACGCTAAAATCGCCGGTCGTGAAGTTGAATAGGTCGGTATTGTGGTACTTTCAGTATGGACCTCATATCCATTCAACTTATTGTTTACGTCGTCATGGTAACTTTATCACCATGTTAACAGGCGCAACGTTAACACCAATGGCTTGATATATCGTCCTGGTGTTTTTACGACATATATGTACATCAGTAATAAATCTGTTTAGTTCACGACAACGGTTTTTCGGCACGTATGGAAGTCGTTAATATAAGGCGTCGCAATTAGTTGCGCGGAGTTGCGTCGCTTAGGCGTGCCAGAATCCAGTAGTCGGTTGTTCGAATCCCAGGTTCCCGCTGTTTATGTTTCTCAGTTTGTCGGCACCACATTAGTGCTCGTGGTTTTATCTGAGATAAATTCCTCTCTCCCATGTGTATATATTAAGTTAATGCACCTTGATATTTATTACTGAGCTCATATAGGTGAGGTGAGGTGAGGTGAAATGGGGTTTAACGTCGCGTCGGTGTGTGTGTGTGTGTGTGTGTGTGTGTGTGTGTGTGTGTGTGTGTGTGTGTGTGTGTTTGTGTGTGTGTGCACTAGTCCGGACTGATGCCGATGTATAGTGCTAGCCCACTGAGATACCATGCCGCAGTTGAACATCAATACCCAACTCAGACACAGTATACTGACTCCGAGCCGACCGGTTCCACATGCTCACAAGAACGGTCATATACTAATAAATACTGAGGGAAACGAACAATGGAACAATAAAAAATATAGGGAAATAAGCTTTACTGTCAGTACATTTGAAAAGCGTATACAAATTCAACACATGTCAGAATCAAATGTTGAGATTTGGTAGACAAGGCTGGGAACCAATGATAGCATATTTTTTTACTGTGTCTAAAACTAAGCGTTCCCTTAGACTTATCCATTAGAATATTTCTTTACACCGATTTGTGTTGTTTCATATTGTTTACATTTATATTTTCTGATTTCCCATCTTTGTTTTAAAGTCCAGCTGAGAAACTGTAGGCAAACTGTGACCAGCTCGATGTTGCTTTCTCCGCCTGACAGCGCCTGGTGTAAATTCGAAACATGGATTTATGTGTATCTACTTGTTTCAATTCTAAAATGAGACATGTCTGCACACCACGGTTATCGTATTTCCTCAGCGATATATTTGTCTGGTAGGTGAGGTGAAATGGGGTTTAACGTCGCGTCCAAGATTATTGTACTTATATATAGCGACGTGCATGCACGTGTGTGTTTGTTTGTAGCGTGTGTTTGGCTGCTTGCACTAGTCCGGTCTAAAGCCGATTTTATAGTGCGAGGCACCATGACGCAGTTTAACATAAATATCCCACTCAGACACAGTATACCGACTCCGAGCCAAACAGTCTTTGTTTAAGCCCCTTAATGCCGAGCGCCAGTCAGGGTAGCAACAAGTACCATCTTTTAATGTGTTTAGGTATGACACGGCCGGGGATCGAACCCCGGACCTTCCGCTCTCCTGGCGGACGCTTTACCATTAGACCATCTTGTAGGTGAAACCCTCATAGTCCGGATCCGGATCCCTTTTCTTCCCGGACGATTTTGTATAGGTAATGGTGTTACGCACGCACGCACGCATGCACGCACGGTAGCTGCTGTAACCGTACCTCTGTTCTGCTGCGTGCATGTAAACGAT